GTCCACATCCCAAGATGGAATACAGAAACTCCAAAAAGCAAAGGATTGTGAGGAATTTATTATTTCAACAGACGTAATTTCTAGTTGATATTTCTTACTTAGTAAACTCTACTCATAATCTGTAAAGGGACATCCTTATACTATAAACGGCATTGCTATTATCATAAATTTTAGAATAATTCCAATATAATCATTCCAATCTCTCCAAATAGGCATTTTACTTTTTAAATAAAAAATGAAATTTTATATGAATCATCAAATTATGAATTGTGGAGTTAATTTATAAGAAATAAAGATTCAATTTATAAAAATTGATTTCAATTGATCTTTTATAATCCAACATCTTCTTTAATAGATAACTGATATATTCATATTTTAGACTGAATAAACTCGAACAAAAACACATTAATTAAATACGAAATAATTTATTAAAAATTTTTATTTAAATCTAATAATCAGGAAGAATTATCTTTACGATTAAATCAATTTTTAATACAATTATATGGTAAAATTTTGATGGTATTTATATAACATTTGCCTTACATTTGGAATGCAATCTTATTTTTAAGATAAAGCACAACAAACTATATTCCTATAAAAAAATGTAAAAATGAAAAGTATATTATTATAATTCATTTATTTTAAACTATTATATTTAAATTCCAGATAATAATTGATTAATGATTAATTTATTAAAAATTATATTCTTTTTTATAAATTTTAATCTAGAATGCTTATTAAAATACCTTTTTATTCTGTTACTCATCTTTTTAATTATCATGATCAAAAAAAACGAAATTAGATCAAATTTTTACTTCTTTATCAGGATAGTATCATTTTTTATATCTATTTTAATATTACTTTTCTCATTATGCATAACTGCATTAACTCTTTTAAATCAAAATATTCTGTTTTAATTGCTAGAAAATCCTATTTTGAATTTGTAGAAATAATTGATTTTCGAATCATAATGAAAAATCTTGATGATAATATTTATGGATCAATTAAATACAAACGTAAGAACTCAATTCAACTAGCCTAGCCATCCATTTTTCATGGCAGATTTTACAGGGATTGATATATATGGATCGTACATTTGGATTGACCAAAAAATCAATTATTATGAAACTGAAATAATAATCTTAAAAACAGGTTTTAGATCACCTAAAATAAGAAATTGAAAACTGACACAAATAGAGTTTTCTATGACAAAAATATTCATCTATTAATTTCATCCAAATATAATGCAAAATAGTATCTTATTTTTAATTAATGATAATGCTAAAATCGATAAAAATTGTTAATTCAAAAGACAATTTTGAATTGCTTCAACTTCTCTGTAAAACCCTACCATAAATTAGATTTAAACTGAGAAAAATTAGTTGAATATGCAAAATTATTAAAATAAACTGTCAGATGATATGGCTATTAATTGTGTATTTTCTTTAATAGTATTTATTAATATTTATCAATGTAATTAATATTTTTAAACAATAAATTTCATTATTTAAGGTAATTATTAATAGTGTTGGGACAAATACTAAAGAAGTTTAACATGAAAAAAGTAAAGAAAAATTTCTAACTATGCCTTATATTCATACGGATTGGTAAAAAAAGTGTGGTTGTATAGAACGTTAAATTAAAAATGGGTTTGTAACTTTGTAACCTTATAAATAAGTTAATAATTTTATTTTTTTAATATAGCCCAATTCTACATTTTAATTAATTTTCGGTTTGATTGAATATTTATAGTTGATAGTATTGATATAGAAATATCTCTCAACACTGGCTTTCATTTATTTTTAATCAATGTCTTATTTTTTATTTATTTAGTTTAATTAAAACTTTTCTAAAAGCAGCCTTTATCTCGCTGTGATATATAATATTTTCCTTCTTTTATTTGATATTAGAATGAATAAATTTATATTTACTTTCAATACTCCATTAAAAATCAATTAATAATTAAAATATTAATTATCACAAATGTCATTATTCAAAAAAAAATAATAATAATTATATAATCATACCAAAATTAATCAAGTTTTTGAATTCTACTCAAATTACTATTTTTTTCTTAATCCAATTATAATAAAAAATAATTATTATATAT